ATAATATTTAAATATATTAATAGAAACTATTAGAATATTTATTATTTAATTTTTTTAAAAAAGTAAAGAAAAAAAAAAAAAGATATATTTTTTATTTAAATTTTAAATCTAAAAAAAATATATAAATGTCAATAGTAATAATATATAAAAATTTATATAAATATAATATATATAATAATAATATTATTATTTATTATATGAATAGGATTTTATATCTTAATATTATATTAATAACATTATTTATTATATTTAATATATTATAAAATATATTGAAAATATTTAAATTACTAAAAAAAATTTATAAAAAAGGTTTAATAGATAAGATACTTTTTATAAATTGATAATAAGTGAATTAATAAAGTAAATTTTTTAATAAATTAAAGAAATTTAAATAATATTATAAAATTAAAATAAAAAATATATATTAAAAAAAAATATATATTAATTATGAATATAAATATATATATATATATATATATTTATATATAATTATATATATTATATAAATTTATATATATAAATTTAAATTTAAAAATATTATTTATAAAAATGTTAATTTGCTATATCTTTATACCAAATTAACATTTTTTTATAGATATATACATTTTAATTATATTTAATTAATATTTTTTTTAATAAATATTATTAAAAAGTTTATACATATATTTATTATAAATAATATTTATTTATTTTTATATTTTTATATAGTTTTTAAATTTATATATTTAAAAAATTATTATTTGTATTACAAAAAATATTTTTTATAATAATTAAATTATATTTTATTTTTAAAAATATAATAATTTTAACTTATTTATAGTAAATTTTTAAATAAATTATATTTTTGAATTATATATAAATATAATTATTATATTCTATAAATATTATTATAATATCTATTAATATATTTTTTAATTAAATTAAAAAATATATTTTTTTAATTTATTGAAATAAATTAAAAATTAATTATTTATTATTTAAAATAAAATTAACACGGATTTGCTTGATTTTTAATATTTGATATTGTTATTTTTAAAAAATTATTATTTTTTTTTTTAATTAATAACTATAATTAATAAAATAATTATAAATAAAATATATTATAAAGTCTTTAAAAATTTATTTTTGAAAAATTTATAAATAATAATTATTGAAACTATAATTAAAAATATAAAAACAATTATTTATAAAAATATATACTAATAATTTTTATTAAGTATAATGAAAATAAATTTCTTATAAATAAAAATATATTTATAATATTTTTTATTATATATAGAAATATGGAAAATTATAAATTTTAAGCTTTAAAAATATAAAATTTCAAATTTTTCATGATAATAATTTAATTTAATTAAAATTAATAAATAAGTATAAATGAAAATATTATAAATATATTATTTTATATCAAAAATACAAAATCATAAGTATAAGAATAATGTTCTTAAAGTAAAATATATAAAACTTATAAAAAAAGAATATAATTGAAATAAATAGTATTTATTATTTAATTATTTTACAATATAAAAAAAATATTAATTATAAGTTTAAAAATAATTTTATTTTTCAATTCAATATTATTATTAAAAAAAAATTATTTTTTTTTTAAAAAAATTTTAATATTTTGTTTTCTTAAATGATTTTAAACTAATTAAAAAAATGCATTTTATTATTTATTTATTTTTTATTTTAAATATAAATCTTATAATTTTAAAATAAATTATAATTATAAATTTTTACTCACATAAATTTTTAATAAAGAAAAATAATTTTAGTTATAAAATTATGTATTTTAAAATATTATTATTTATTAATATCAATAACCTATTAATTATTACTTTTATATTATAAAAAATAAATAAAAAATATAATAAATATAAAAACAATGAAATATTTTTAATGCTAAATAAAAAAAAATCATAATAATTAATTATAAAATAAACATTATTTTTTTTGTTTCAAAAATATCACAATAATAATCCAAATATAACATAACCAATAAAAAAACCATAGACTCCTTGATAATTATTTAATTTTTAATCATCTCCTTAAATTTAAAATAATTTTCTAGAGGAATCGATTTTAGTGCATTATTTTAATTTTTCATTATATGTATGCCCAGAAAAACAAGTAGTGCATTTATTTTCCGTACATGCTATACAATTACCGTATTTTTAAATACAAGTAATACATTTTTTAGTTTTATCATCTAAAATAAAACCTTAATTACATTAAGAGCATTGTTTAGATTGATTGCATATTTTACATCCTGTCGGACATTTTATTATATTAGTTCCATTAATTACATTATTTCCACTTCCTAAATTTCCATCATTTGCAGAGGTTTGCAAGCATTTTTTTTTTAAATTATCATTACACTATAAACAGTTGGGATCATCACAGGATGTACAATTAGTATGTTTAGAAAGACATTAAGTGCAAGCTTTAGTTTTTGAATCAATATAATAACCATTTTAACATTTTTTGCAACCATTTTCATTACAATTTTAACATCTTAGAGGACATTATTAGCATTTTCCAATACTATCAGAATAAAAACTAGCACCAGGGCATATATTTAAACAACTTCTACTATCATGACTTTTTAAGTTAACTCCCTCACAAACAAGACACTCAGACGGATTCTTAGGATTACATTATGAGCAATTTTAGTTGCACAATGTACATTTTTTATCTGAACCTAATCTATAATTTTTAGAAGTATCACATTTAATACATGTATTAGAATCCTTATATTAAAGACATCCATCAAAAGGTTTTACACATTCTTATGAATTTTACGTTAATTAAGATCCAATAGCACATGTATTTTAGCACGACTTATCAGCTTATTTATAAAAGCCTTATTTACAAGTTATACATAAAGGAGAATTCTTTTTTTCACAAGTTTAGCAATTACCTTAACATTTTGTGGATGACTAAGACTCACATATACGCAAATCATAATTAGATTTATATCCTTGTTTCTCATCACATTATTCTACACACTAGTTATCTTGCAATAATGTCAAAAACTAACATTTAGTACACTGATTAAGTAATGGTCCAGTACATCTAGAGCAACTATTATGGCATGGTTCACAATTACCATCCTTTCCATAAAAGCCTTAAGGACAATCTGATTTGCAAGTATTATCTGGATTCTTGAATTTACCTGAAGGGCAAGAGCTTTATATACATCTTCCATCATTGACTACTCCGGAGCATTTTGTAATACAATTTTCCCCTCCATATCCAGATTAGCATATACATTATCCGTTTACACAGACTCCTTTTTAGGAACAGAAATTCGGACATATACGGGAATTATTACAGAATCTATTATAATCTTAAGGACATGTGATTTAACCTTTGGCTTTTTTACCACTTTTATCAATATCCTTTTATTTACCTTAATCCCCTATTCCACATAAAACTTGCAATTAAATATCAGGGAAAATAACAGATATTTCAGATGCATCAGAAGAACATTTGAATCTATGACATCTTACAGAAGTATCATATGTATATTAAGATGAGGATTTTACGGCTGTAGATTAGAAGCATTTACTTTAATTTGAATAATCAGATAATTTATCCTCTTCTATTTCCAAATCTTCTTCATCCTCTATTGCATTAGGATTTGTACATAGATCTTCCATTTCTGGATATACCATTTAACATTTGTCTACGCTTTAGTATATTTTTACATCACCAAATCCTTCATATTCAAATGAGCATTAAAAATCATCAACTTTTTAAGGAAATTCAGGGTATTTAGTTTTACTTTAGCAAACATTTTCTAAGAAATCGCAACCTTTTCCTTTACCCCAAAATAGCTAACCGGCCATATTCTCATTTACTTCAGAATAAAAACCAGTGTCTTTTAAAAGAGCAATTGTAAACATAGAAAGAGTACTTTTAACATTTAATTCAGATCCAGTCATTAATTCATTATAAACAAATGTTCTTTTCCAATGAGAACCTATAGTAAATTCACCACCCTATTTCACATATAAATATAAATAAATATATATTTCTTATATAAATATTTTTATATTTCTATATTTATATATAATTTACTGTATTTTCAAGATACATTCCTTCAGCTGTTGGACAATTATAATATTTTTTAGTAACTTCTACTACATTTTTGGAAGTTAAAATAAAAACTGTATTTCCTTTGTAAAGTTTTTATTTTAATAATTTTTTTTCATAATTTTTTTTATATTATTCTTTAGTTATAGGATCTATCCAATAGTGCATCATGTCTTTTGAAAAACCAAGTACATGCATTATTTCATGAATAGTTGTTTCCAAATCACTCTGAAAAGATTTTACATCTCCTTCACGTATATTCAATTCTTTAATATTAAAACTAACTCTTCCAAATGTCGGTCTTTTGATTCCTTCATTAGAAATAGCACACAAAACAGCATCTGCAAGATTATAATTATCTTCATTTTCATAAATTATGTATAAGTGTAAATCCGAATTAGCAATTCCAATTGTATAATCTTTTTTAGGAATATCAAAATCTATACAATCATATGGCCAATTTGACGGATAAATGTTATTTTTTTAATTGGTTATACTTTCAAAAGTCTTTAGAAAAAAAGCTTGGATGTTTCCATAATTTCTTTTAAGTATTCTTTTTATTATCGGGTTATTCCCGATTTTATTTAATCTAACATAGAATAATCTATAGTTATTCTAATAGGCATTGCATCTCCTTCTGTTTAAAGAATACGTTAGTCAAAGTTTGAATTTTGGATTTTTTCATAATTTTCTTACATTTTATTATAGTGATTTTGTATTTTTTTACTTTCATGACCACAGTTATGGTGAGAGCGGGTTAATGTAACTATAATTACGAAACTAATTAAAATTAATTTTTATAGCATATTTTTATTAATTTTTCTTTTTTTTTTTTCTAATAAATTTTTAATTATATATTTATTATTCTTTTATCGATTGATTTATAAAATAACATAGCTTTTTTTTATGGTATTATTATAATATATTTTTTTAATTATAAAGTTATAGACCATAATTATTTTATATTTTTTAATTTAAAAATAATATTATATAATTAGATTTAATAAATAGAAATTAATTACTGTATTAATTTTGTAAATTATAAAATGTTTTATAACAAAAAAGTCATAATCTAAATATGATATTTATTTTTATAATTATGTAATTATTAGTTTCATAAAATTAATGATTTATTTAGTATAGAGTAAAATTTAAATATTATTCTTATTTTTTTAATTTCAAAGCATAAAGAAATTATTTTTTAATCTGTATCAAATATTTTAACCATTATGTGTTTAAAATTAAAAAATTTTATAAAAAAAAATAAAAAAAATATAATATAGATTAATTTAATTATATATATATATATATAAATAAAATTATTAAAATTAACATAAATATAATATCGTCATTAAATATTATTATTTAAAAAATAATATATATTTATTACTTAAATAAATATATAATTATTATTTAAATAAATATAAATTAATTATTTTTACTAAATATTTTTTTTTGTATAATACTTAATTCAAAATTCATTAAGTTTCGATTTAATTTTTTCTTTATTTATAAACAAAAAAATTATTTATTTATTATTTAATATAATAAAAAATTAACCTTATTTTTTAATATTATTTATTTAAATATGCAGGTGAGAAAAAATTTTTTAGATATATTTTATGATAATACAACAGACATATTAATATTTTATTATGAAAATTATATAAATCAAAACAAATAAAAAAGAAATAATTAATTACAAAATAAAATAAAAAAAATAAAAATATTAAATATAATATTTTTTGTATAAATTAAAAAAAAAAAAAAAAAATATATTTATAATATGATGAAATTAATAAAAATAAAATATAATAAATTAAATAAATAGATAAAACAAAATTTAAATAATAATAGCATATAAAATATATAAAATTATTTATTATCTTTAATTGTTATAGAAATATTAAATTTAAAATCATTTAAATAATCTTTTAAAAAATATTAAAAGGATATTAGTGATTTTAATGATATAAAATAAGAAATTTTTTACTTTTATATAGTAATAATTTAAGATAAACCATTTTAAAATTATAATTTTTTTCTAAAGAAACAAAAAATATAAAAATATTGCTAAATCAAAAATTTAAAAATGTAATTGTAGACTCATAATTTTTATTAACAAGAAGTTAATAAAATAAAATGCTAATTATAATAAATAACAATTCAATATTAATTTTTAAAAGAAAGAAAGAAATTTTAAAAGATCTAAAATTTTTTTTTTTCTTTTAGATTATATAATTTTTATAAAATTTGATTCAGTTTTAAAAAAATATAGATAGCAGATTTTATTTATATTTTTAAAATTAAAAAAATTTAAATTAATATATTAGAAAATAATTTTTAAACCACTAAAAAATTTTTAATTATAAGTTATACCATATATATATTTTTTTTAAATTATTATTTATTGAAATTAAAATCCAATTAATACTTTATATTTATAAAAAATATTATAATAAATTAAATACCAATTAAAAAAATATTTCATAATAATTAATTATAAAACAAACTTTAGTTACTTTGTTTTAAAATCATAGCAATAATAAATCCAAATATAACATAACCAATTAAAAAAATAAAGACTCCTTAATAATTATTTTATTATTAATCATCACCTTAAACTTGAAGTAATAATCTAAAACACTTGATTTTAGGTTATTGTTTTGATTACTTATTATATTTATATCCAGACAAACAAATAATGCATTTTTTTATGTACATAATATATAATTATATATTTTAAATATATTTAACACATATTTTTAGTTTATTCATCTATAATGAAGCCTTAAATTCATTAGAAGCATCGTCCAGATTAATTACATAAAAGCCCTTTTTACAAGTAAGTTTGGAAATTTCTTTAAAACATTTTAGATAATTAAAATTAGCATATACTCTAAGCATAATTAATTAGGTTTATATCCTTGTTTTTCATTACATTTATTTACATATTAATTATCTTGTAATAATTTCAAAAACTAACATTTAGCACACTGATTAGGTGATGGTCCTGTACATCTAGAGCAACTATTATGACATGGTTCGCAATTAACATCATTTACATATAGGCCTTAAGGACAATCTGATTTGCAAGTATTGTCTGGGTTCTTGAATTTACCTGAAGGATGAGAGCTTTATATACACTTTCCATCATTGACTACTCCGGAGCATTTTGTAATACAATTTTCTCATCCATATCCGGGTTAGCATATACATTGTCTGTTTACACAGACTCCGTACTATATATATATTAAGATAAGGATTTTACGGCTGTAGATTAGAAGCATTTACTTTGATTTGAATAATCAGATAATTTATTCTCTTCTATTTCCAAATCTTCTTCATCCTCTGTTGCATTAGGATTTGTACATAGATCTTCTATTTCAGGTTATAAAATTATGAATTTGTCTGCGTATATATTAGTTTCAGCAAGACCATTCAAAAGAATATAAAAGATCAACTAAATTTTAAGGAAATTTTGGAAATTAAGTTTAACTTAAACAAGCACTTTTTAAGAAATCGCATTGTTACCCTTTCTCCCTCCAAAATATATAAACAGCCATATTATTATTTACTTCAGCTTAATATAGAAAAAGTAGTTTTAATAATTAATAAAGATTCTGTCATTAATTCATTAAAAATAACAAATCTTTAGCAATAAGCACCAATTGAAAATATACCTAGATTCAATATTCACATAATAAGTAAAAATAAAAGTAATTATACATATAAATTAAGCAACTAAAATAATAATTATAACCCAAAAAACAGTATATACAAAAAAAATTTCAGAACAAAAAATTTATATAATACTAGGTTTTAAATTGCAACATATTTTTTCTTGATTATAATTTTTTTAAATTAAATTAAGAGAATTATATTTTGAATAGTTGGAAAATATACAAATAATATATAAAATATGAGTTTTGATGCAAATTTTAAGATACATTTATTTTTATAGTTACACGTTTATTGAAAATACTGAAATAAATATATTATTTTGAAGTTTTTTTTAAATCTTAATTAAAAATTGCTTAAAATTTTATTTTAAAAATAAAAATAATTCTTAGATTCTCATTATTTGAAAAAAAAAAATTAAGAAAATTTGCTTTGTTTATGGACAAATATAGGTGGATAAAACACATTTATTACTAAATATTACAAATTTTTAAACAAAAAAAAAAGTTTTCAAGAATATATAAACAATCTGATTGGTATGTAATAAAAATAAATAATCAAAATTCTAGAATATATTAATATTATATTCGAGTGACTAAAAAATATAAAAGAGATACAAAAATTTGTTTATATATATCAAAAATTTTTAAAATATTAATTAAAAATATGAAATATATATATTTATATGTAAATCATTTAATTTATAAAAAATATAAAAAAACAATAAATAAAATAATTTTGTATTTCAAATTTTATTTTTAATTTTAATTTATAAAAATAAATATATATTAATAGATATGTAAAATATATTTATATAAATATATATATTAGTTAATATATAATGAATTATTTTCTTTATTTTTTTTTGTAAATAATTATTTTAATGAAAATCAATAATTTATACAATAAATTGTAAAAGAATTAGAAAAAAAATTATTAAAGCTAATTATTAAATAAATAATTTTATTATTAATTTAATTTTAATATATAATTAAAAAATATTATATTTATTTTTCATAATTTTTAAAATATATTAATTTCACAAAGATATTTTTTTTTTATTTAATTTAAAATAATTTTTTATAAATAATTAAAAAAAATTTATATTAATATTATAATAATAATAATAATAATAAAAAAAATATTAATTAATAAATATAATGTTTAAAAATAAAAATAACACTATATCTAAATAAATTTATTAAAATAAAAATTATTTAATTGCTATAATTAACTATTGTATTTTTATATTTTTTTTATTATTAATTTTTAATTTACAATGATTTGAATTAATATATATATATTATAAGTAAAATTAATTTAAATATATTATAAATAAAATTTATATTTAATGTAAATTTAAATATAAATTAAATGTAAATTTTATATCTTAATTTTTATTTAAAAAAAAATATTTCAAAATTATAAAAATCATATATTAAGAAGTAAATATTAAAAATATAAAATTATTAAAAAATAAAAAATATGCATAAAAAATTAATTTTAATTAATATCTTAATTATAGGTACATTTACTCATATTACCGTCAATGCTGTCATGAAAGTAAATAAATACAAAATCACTATGATAAAATGTAATAAAAATGTGAAAAATTCATACCAGGACTAACGTATTCTTTAAACAGGAAGCGAGGCAAAGCCTATAAGAATAGCAATAGATTTTTCTAATTTAGATTAAAAAAATAAGAATTAATCCGATAATAAAGGGAATACTTAAAAGATATTATGGAAAAATCCTAATTTTTTTTCGCAAGAATTTCGAAAATATAAAGAATCAAAAAACATAACATTTTTCCATCAGGTTGGTCAAAAAAATGTTTAGAAGTGTAAATTCCTGAAAAGGATTATACAATTGGAATTTCTGATATCGATTCATACTTACAAATTGTTTTTAATAAAGATAAAAATAAAAACATTGCAGATACCGTTATTTATGGTGTAGCTAATGAAGGAATAACCAGACCTACATTTGGAAGAGTTAATTTTAACATAGAAAATATAAATAAACTAGAGGGAAATCCAAAAACTTTTCAGAACAATTTGGAAGCAACTATTAATGAAATTATGCTTTTTCATCATAAGAAATATTCTCA